CCCCACAGCACCCCGCGAGCCGGGGTGGGGTGGGGGGAGTGTGGAGGGTGTGAGGGCCCCCCCTTTAAAAGGCCGCAGAGGTTGAGAAACACTGAACTACAGAGAAGCATTTTCTTCTCCCTTTTCCCTTAAAAAAAAAAGGGGGGGGAATTAAAATGCTGGATTGCTTTGTTTTGTAACTTGATTGCACTCATTTTGTAATTATTCCCCTTGGCTAAACTGATACTTTCAAATGTGGACTCACAACAAAACAACTGTCAGCTGGTAAACTCTGAGATCTTATACACCAAAATAAGATTGGCTTGAAGGAAACCATGCAGTGGGTCTTCTGTAGGTCTTCAGGAGCTTCTGGGGTCTTCTTTTGTCTTCATTTACGGCAGTGTTGTCCAACCTTGGGCACTTTAAGATGAGTGGACTTGGCTGGGAAATTCTGGGTGGCTGGGGAATTCTGGGAGTTGAAGTCCACTCATCTTAAAGTGCCCAAGTTTGGACAACACTGATTTACGGCATAATCAGATCAGGTTTTTGAAAAACCCTTGTTGGGGATCCCCTTTTATCCCATTTTCAGTTGTGCCTGTCAGCCAGCAGCCATGTGCAAGGGGTGTGTGTGTGTGTGTGTGTCAAAACTGTCACAATGTCTGTTGCCACATCGCAATCCAAACCCCACCACTTTTGTGTGTGCACCAGCACTGTAGGCATGCCCAAAGAGGGCGAGCTTCTATCACAATGCCTTGGCTGCCATTTTGACTGTTTTGATACACACCCACCTCCTAGCAGATGCCACCCTCTTCCAGGCATCTATTCCTAGAGGATAATGAAGCAATGCTTACCTATATGGTGCCCACACACTAATATTGCAAAGGGGGCATCAATTGCCACGAAGGAGAAAGTGTTAGCTGTTTCCAGCTGGGACTGTGTGAATTCAAACTGGATGTATCAGATGGCAATCCAGAGGAAGGGGCAAGAACAGAGGTGGTAGGCGTACCATTTATTATTTTTTAGGCCATTTATTTTTTCCACTCCTTTTCCTAGCCTGAATGGGAGCTGAAATGCCTCTTTAAACATGTCAGATTTGTTGACTTCGTGAAGGGAATACAAAAGTCAGACAGATCTCCTCCAGCTTCTTGACGTGCATGGAAAGCATTGAACATTAAAGAAAACGAAAGAAAAATGTGCTTTTATTCCTACCTTTCATCTCCAGTTCTGCAAAGTGCTTGGTTTCTTCCACCAGCTTCACTTGCCACGAGAAATTGTTCAGCCCCAGGAGGGCTGTTTTCCACCCCAAAAGAGAAGCAAAAAGCTGGGGGATGGGGGGGGCATGTGTGGGTTTGAGACTTTGAAGCTTTCAATGCAAGTTCCTAAGTTTTCATTCTCTCGCCTTTCGACAAAGGATGGGAAGTGACATCTCCACAGATCTTGATGTGGTTGTTGGTTTCCATCTCTCAACCTCTCTCCACCTTAGTAAGGACATCTAAACTCACGTGGTTCCTTTCCACATGAGATGATCTTGAAGCTCCATAATGTTTGCCGGCTCAGCTGATGATCTAGGGCGACCCGCATCAAGGGTGGTTGATCTCAATGGTTCCTGCCCCCAAGAGTTGATTTACCCTTGATCTTGAAAGTGAGGACACACGAGGGTCCTCTCTTGAGACCAAACATTGGTCCATCTCTACGACTCCTTCTGTAGGATACCCTTGTTATTTTCCTGGGTTAAAGATGGCATTTACTGGCATGGGATGATAGGACTGGAAGTCCTACACCAGGTTCCCACCTGGGGAAGACTGAACAAGGGAGCCAATTCCTCATTTCAAAACCATCCACTTTGTTGGAGTGAACAGCCTGTTTAGGAAATGTCAGCTGTTCTCCATTCAGACATTTTATGATTACTGCAATGCAGGGGTGCAGAAATTACATAATCATGTTTTGGCCATCAGAGCATCTCCCAAAGTTGCTATGGAAATTATAATTTTGGATGTGGCAGGAAGGGGAAGGGATGAACACACAGGGAATCCTCGCAAGACTTTCATTTGATTAATTTCAATCGAACCCCATTTAGTTTTTCTCCTGCCCTTGTCTAGTTTTGAAGAGTGTGGATCCTTGGCTCCCCCAAACCATTGTGTATTGCTTATTCACACTGCTCTAAAGCCTTAGAATTAGGGGTGTCTCTAAAACTTTTGTTTTTTAATCGATCAAGGGTCACATTTGTTCTTTGTGTAGCTCGCTAGCGCTGCAGTGTGAAAAGAAGAGTGAGCCGGCACCCAGACTGAATTTTGTTTAACTTAACATGCCACAACAGCGCATTGTTGCGAAGCTAAGTAGGGATCAATCTGGTTTGTGCTGTTTGGGAAACAGACAGGAAATTCCAGAATGTAGACTAAGTTGGGAAATGTGAAGAATACTTGTCAGAAAACCACAACAAACCAACCACATCTGTACGGTTGCTAGGAAAAAATACAGATGTGTTCATGAAATCATTTGGTAGCATTAGACTGAAGCTTTTTTATAGACAATAACTTTATTAAATGTGAAAAGAAACACTGTAAAAATGGACCAGAACTAATATTAAAGAGAAATTAAGAGAAAGAAAAAAAGGAAATATAAGAAAAAAGAGAGAGTAAAGATCTAAAGGGCAGAAAGCAAGAAAAAAAGAAAAGAAAAGGAAGACTTGACTTCTGACCCTCCTTGCAACAGATGTAAGTCACAAAATACATAAACTCTTGCTCTAAATTCAGAAATCGCTTCCATTATTTCTATTAACCCATATTCATTAGACCAGGGTTCCTCAACCTTGGCAACTTTAAGACGGGTAGACTTCAACTCCCAGAATTCCCCAGCTGGCTGGGGGGTTCTGGGAGTTGAAGTCTACCCGTCTTAAAGTTCCCAAGGTTGAGGAACCCTGCATTAGACTGAAGCTTTGTATAATTCCCTTCCTCCTTCTGTTACGTTAAAAGTTGCGATTTGGTATCACGTATTAGACCAGGGTTCCTCAACCTTGGCAACTTTAAGACGGGTGGACTTCAACTCCCAGAATCCCCCAGCCAGCTGGGGAATTCTGGGAGTTGAAGTCCACCCGTCTTAAAGTTGCCAAGGTTGAGGAACCCTGCATTAGACTGAAGCTTTGTATAATTCCCTTCCTCCTTCTGTTACGTTAAAAGTTGCGATTTGGTATCACGTTTCTGGAGTGACCTAAAACTTTCTGAAAACACGTGTTTTGGAAACTCCATCCTGTAGACTTACATGCACCCACCCCTCCCACCATAAATGAGACGTGGGAGGGTATGGCTAGATCTTCATTCTGACATTCATTTGACCGTCTTTCCTCCTACAGGTTGTGCCGGGATGTGGGATAACATTACGTGTTGGAAACCAGCTTTTGTGGGGGAAGTCGTCTTTGTCAAATGTCCAGCTCTCTTCACGGTGGTGAACTTAGATTACGGTAACGTTGTTGAACTCCTGAGTCCACTTATTCTGAACTGTAGGCCAAAAAAACCTTGGAATTACAGCAGGCCAAGACACGTAGATCAAAGGATATGCAGCACTGAACCGAGAAAAGAAAAAGAGAGAGAGAGGGAGAGAAAGAGAGGGGATAATTTTTTGCTCCCTAGCTGTTGAAATGTAATTTTATTTATTTTAAAATTAAATATTGTAACAACAACCCTGGTTGCACACAAAACAGTAATATGCATATGCCTATAAAATAAATAAATAAATAAATAAATACAACAGAACCCCCCAGCCATAAAATAAAAGTCAACAAAAACTCAACTCCATATTTATATAATTAGGAATAATGATATAATTAGGAATAATAGGTATTCCTAATGCATGGTCTTCTCTGTCTGGATGGGAGGAGACAGAGAAAATCTTAAGGAATAAGGAGAAAAGAATATTGTGGCCAGAACATTTCTGTTCCTCATTGTTCTAGCAGTTTTAAAATAGGTGGGTGGTATGAAACTTCACAAGTGGGAGCAGATGGGGTGTGCTGTTGGTGTGAATATTGGGGGTGGTTTCTCTCATAAGTCGTGCGTGCCCTGTAGCTTTAGCCCCAAATACCAACAAACCTTTTATTTCTTTCCTTGAATTTTCCCATTATTGTCAATATGGTCCAAAATCATGGAGACATCAAATTACAGGTAATCCTCAATTTACGACCACAATTGGGACCATAACTTCCATCATTAAGTGATGTGGATGTTAAGTTAGTTGCGCCCGACTTTATGACATTTTTTGCCATGGTCATTAAGAGAATCACATAGTCGTTATTTGAATCCAGCTTCCCCCATTGACTTTGCTTGTTGGAAGCCCCCTGGGAAGGTCACAAATGGCAATCACATGACCCTGGGTCACTGCCACTGTCATAAATACATGCCAGTTGCCAAGTGCCTGAATTTTGATCCTGTGACTGCAAGGACGCTGCAACGGACATATGTCACTTTTTTCAATGTCATTGTAACTTCAAATGATCGTTAAACAAATGGTCATAAGTTGAGGACTACCTCTGTTCTGTTCGGTTCTGTTCTGTTCTGTCCTGTTCTGTTCTTGCATGGACATAGACATCTAATAGACATCTGCCTAACAATGCAGGGTTTTTAGTGGCATCCCAAATGAAGTTCATATAGCCTTTCATTAAAAAAAGGGAGGGGGGAATCCGTGTCTTGGAGATTACAAATGAGAGCACCACACTTCAGCCAGTACCCCTGAGATTTTGGCATTGTTGCACAAAACTACATTGGATGAAATTTCACAAGCTAAGGTCCCCTGATAAAATGTTGGCCATTTTTTTTCAAATATACACATTCTTAATTTTTGCATCCTTGGAAGATTCCTGACCCTGAATGATCAAAATGGCTTTAGCACAGCATATCAGAAACCATCCAGTGGCTTTTCCTGCTGAGAGACATTGGGGATCATCCCTTTTATTTTTCTGCAAACCTACTGACTCTGATTGACCATGAAAAAGCGACGCAGGAGCAGAGCTGGTCAATACTTGGACAGGAGGCCATCAAGCGATCCCAGGGTTGTAGGCCAGAAGGCAATAGTAAATCCATTTTTTGCACTGTTGCCAAGAAAACTCCGTGGATGTACACCTTCCCTTTTTCACTGATTCAGCTATGGTTCTTCCCATATCAGCCATGACTAGCCAGACACTTGGCTATTCTACTTCCCACTAAAAATACAACTTTGAAAGCGGAGCTAGATCCCAAGCAATCCATCCTTACTTACCCAAGAGAAATTGGAAGGGGGGAATGCCCATCTCGAAGAAGGTAAAGTCAGAAACTAGTCCCTTGCCTCTGCCACCCACTAGTGCGTACATCACAGAATTAACTTCACAGGCACAAGGTTACAGAAAATATTTGAACTACATGATCTAGAGCATCGGTTGGCAACATAGTGCCAAGGGGCACATGCAATATTTCAGGAGGCAACCATGGACTCTTAAAATTAAATGTATATTGGACTTTCTAAAAAGAAAGACAGATCATCAAGAAGACTAGGCTACGTTTCATCTCCCTCTTATCAAAAGTTTTATTCATTGCAGATATTCTGCATTGGAGTTGGGGTGAACTGGATGAGTATTGAGGTTGTCTCTGGAATGATTAATCCACATGGTGGAGCATTCTTTGCTTACCTACTGTCTCAACTGATGATGACCTCATGTTGCTGTGCCTCACCATGTTCCTATGTTATCAATCCACTTTATCAACTAGGTTTTAAGTCAGAGCCAAGTTGACCTTGTCAAGGAGAAAGTCAGAAGCAGTGACCTCTTCAGAAGAACCACTCATAAAAGCTGAGCCCCAGGAGAAGACATCCTTTCCACAGCAATGCCTGGCTGGCAAAGCAGGGCTGATTCAAAAGATTAGAATCACCAATATCAGTTCCTTCTTGATAACCAGCAGTGGGGATGCAGTTTCCATAGCAACAGCTGGGAAAGGATGAGAAGAGACACCAGCCTGAAAGCTGGTGGCTTCTCTAACACCAGAAAAGGAAAAAATAAAGGAGAGGTTCCACTCACCCTCAGTGAGAACAAACTTGAAGGTCACCTAAGGAGAGGTTGGGGTCATCAAAATTCCATACGCAGAATGAAATAATGTTACCTTGGTCTTTTTGGGGCAGGAGACAATGACTTATGGCTGAAGAGAAAAAACTTATGACAAAAAGATTAACTCTGTGGCTGGTTGTAAGTGACCCAAACTGTGTAAGGACACCCAGATCATCAGATGTACAATATAGAGGATAGCTCACTTCTCCAAACTTGCCTTTAGGTGGTTGTCTAAGACCACTGGATGAAGAGTGGATGAAGAGTAGATTGAAAAGAAAATAAAGGTCTTGAACTTCTCCATTGGAGATATTCAGCATGTCAACTCTCCCATGATAATCTGTTTCCTTCCTCTTCTCTCAAAGATCTGTTGACTTCTTTCCAACAAAGCCATCTTGGTTGCCGCTGTGTGTAGCCTGGGATGATTTTTTAAACTGATTTATTTTTTTAACAATTTCTGTCCCACCTTCCTGCTCATGGCACACCCCAAGGTTCCCCAAGATTGCTGTGAGTTTCTTTCTTGTAGGTGGGACCCACACTCAGAGAATGAATTTTCTGTCTATACCATTCTATCTTAGATACTGATGTGATATCACCTAGAAATTCTGGGAATTATAATACCCACTCATCTGCAGGTCAAGGAAGACTGTTCCAGAAAACAGAGCAAGTTCCTGTTTGGACCTCACTGTTGCTCAGTCCAGTTGAGATCGAGGCCAGAACATTTGCCATTTGAGATGTACATCGAAGGAGAGCAGTTCAGGCTAGGCATGATGGCTTTCATCTGGTCCACCATTGGTGAACATCTTTCTTTGAAGAGAGCTTCATCACTTGCAAGGAATCACAGAGCTTTTTCCAGACGTCCCCTGACATCTACGGCATGGACATCCTGTGGGCTGTATGTAGCTCCCAAGATCCCAAGAATAATTTTTTAACAGTACATTTTTTCTTGTATTAATATACAGAGAAATTATTTTCATGGCCAACTATTCCCATTTCCATCCTTTAACGAAAAAAGGCAACCTTCCTGAAATTATGCCACTGAAATTTGGACATTTTGCTGAATTTTGGCAACGTGCTCAGATGATTGGGGAGTTGATAGAGATTTGGGGTGGCCTCTGGGAGGCTAACTCAACCCATTTCTATCTTGAACCTCCCTCCCCCATTGAAAAACTGAAAGAAAAAAAGGACTGAAAAATTAATCCCATTCCTTCACATCACCAGAAGGCCTTTTGCAGCTTAATTCAGGGGAGTAAATTGCAATGCCAATCCAGAGGAAAATGTCCAGTCCTGCTTCAAAATAAGGATGGATCAGAAATATGGAGACTTCCCACTTTTTGCCCCATAGATACTTTCAATTGCTCAAATATAACAACTTTGCAAACTTCCTGAAATTTTGCCGGACTGAGAACTCTTGCGCAACATCAGGCAAGAAGAACAACCTTTGGCGAGAACTTGGTGAAACCTCTCAAGATTTTGTTGGCCTCCTTTCCAAGATTTTGGCTATTTGGTGGTTTTATTTATGGGATCCTGGGCATTGCGTATCCAAAGTGCTTGGAATCTGGGAAAGGCCGCTGATCTATGGATTAAGCCAGGGAAGATGGGGCAGTAAAAATTAAACTTACTTAACTAATTTACTTAATTAAAATTAAGTAAAAAAGTAAAGGCCCCATAGAGGCCTTCTGCCTTCAGCCTCAGATTTTTCATCCTCTTGGTCTCTCCT